CCTCGAATGCTCACGTCGAGTTTGCTCTCCGTTGACGATCCGACGTCTTGTTTCACTGGAACATGATCTTCTCCTCACGATTTGACGTTGTGGAGAACTTGCGTGGCAAGTTTGAAACTCTGGACGAGTTGATAACTCTGAATGAGTTGGAAACTCTTGAAAAAGAGTTGATTTGAACCGAGAATCGGTTCTCAAGCCAAGGATGAAGAAGCTCTTGTTGCAGATCTCCCAAGCTCCAGAAATGCTCTAAGGATCCTGTTGACGAGCCAAGAAGTTCCAACGACCCAACCCGAACTGAATTGATTTTTAGTTATTTATAGGGGATTAAGGGGTGTAACCACCTCCTTAATTCGCTCCTAAGTGGGGCTAATGGGATGTAACCGCCCCTTAAATCACTCCTGAGTAGAGTTGTGATCCCCTCAGATCGTGGGAAACGGTTTTGAAACCGTTCAGCTCGTGTTTGAACGAGTCAAACGCAGGCCCGCGTTTTCGCATGAATTCTGTGTCCAAACGCAATGCCTAAAGGCTTGAACGCAGCATCTGGAAGCTCGGACGCAGCGTATAACAATTCAATGATTTGTGGGGCTAGTTTTGAAATAATGTAAGGGTTGGGGTAACCAAATAGCAATTTCAGTGATTTGAGGGAATAATTTAAAGATTTAAGGAACTGATATGAAAAAAAACAAATTTAAAAAAAAAAAAAGAAGCCTCCTCTGTCTAATACTCTAATCATCAGGTTTAGGGAACAGATTGTTACAAATCGGCCCAAAATGGTCGGTTCATTAAAAACCTTGCCCGTTAGAGATTTAGGACCTAGTCATCTTCACGAGAATATTTTTAAGTTTAATTTCACAGAAGCCTCCCTAAACTTTGGAAGTTGTTGCATACTATCCCCCTAAACTTTGTTTATTGCACATAACTTCCCTGGTCTTTGGGGTGTCTCACAAAATCCCCCTAAAATTTTGAACTTTTCTCATCGGACACGCTATATGAAATTTACAAATAACAAAAATTTTCTTGAGGAAAAAACTCAAAAATTAGGGTGGAGTATGTTGCTTATAAATGACAAGAAGTGATTTTTTTCACTCAAATACATTTTAGTTATTTACAAATTACAGGCAGTGGTATCAGGTGAGATAAGGTATAGATCAGGAGAGTTTTGTGAGGCACCCCATAGTTCAAGGGGTTATGTGAAATAAATAAATTTTAGGGGGTTGCGTGCGACACCCCCCAAGTTCAGGGGGCTATGTGAAACCAACCTATATTTTTACGCGTACCATCAGCGCGACGCTAAAATATCCATCACAAATTCTCCCTCTCTTCCCTCTTCAAATCTCAAGAGTCTCTCTTCAAGCTTTAGGGTTTTCTCCTTTTCAGTGGCGAGAAGAAATTCCCAATTTAGGGTTTTCAGGTATCTTTGCCAAGTGTTTGTGGAAAATTTTGAAGTAAAAAGAAATGAAGGAAAATTGATCTGTATTCCTTTAATCTCAGTTACAATTGGATTTCCTGATTACAAAAGAAAAGAGAATTGATGCAAATCCTCCCCTTTGTTTAAGTCTGGGTTCTTCACGGTGGCGATGGAGTGCTTCCTTCGAATGCTTGCGTCGAACTTGCTCTTCGTTGATGATCCGATGTCTTGTTTCACTGGAACGTGGTCTTCTCCTCATGATTTGACGTTGTGGAGAACTCTGAACGAGTTTAAAACTCTATGAAAGAGTTGATTTAACCGAAAGTCGGTTATAAGCCAAGGATGAAGAAGATCTTGTTGCCGATCTCCAAAACTCCAACCGAAGGATGAAGGATCCTCTTTTCGCTGCCAAGTCCCAGCCGAAGATCAGAACCGAAACCCCAAAGATTCCGCCTCGAGGATCTCTTCTGTTGCTGCCAAGAAGTTCCAACAGACCGAACCCGAACTGAATTGATTTTCAGTTATTTATAGGGGATTAAGGGGTGTAACCACCTCCTTAATTCGCTCCTAAGTGGGGCTAATGGGATGTAACCGCCCCTTAAATCACTCCTGAGTGGAGTTGTGATCCCCTCAGATCGTGAGAAACGGTTTTGAAACCGTTCAGCTCGTGTTTGAACGAGTCAAACGCAGGCCCGCGTTTTCGCATGAATTCTGTGTCCAAACGCAATGCCTAAAGGCTTGAACGCAGCATCTGGAAGCTCGGACGCGGTGTCTGAAAGCTCGGATGCAGTGTCTGGAAGCTGCGTTGGCATCTTGTTGGAAGCTGCGTTTGGCGGCTTGGAAGCTGGGTTTGGCAGCGGATGGAAGCTGCGTTGGGCAGCGGATGGAAGCTGCGTTGACAGCTGTTGGAAGCTGCGTTTGGGCTGCGTTTGCAGCGATTTAGAAGCCGCGTTGGAGCTGTGTTTGGGCAGCGATTTAGAAGCTGCGTTGGAGCTGCGTTTGCAGCGATTTGGGAGCTGCGTTGGCGGCCGAATCTGAGCTGCGTTTACAGCTTTTGGAGCTGCGTTTGGCAGCATTGGAAGCTGCGTTTGCAGCTTTCGGAGGCTGCGTTTGAGCTGCGTTCGTGGCTATGAACGCGACGTATCTTGATGCTGGTACGTGGGGAGGACTTCCACGTCTTGATTTGAAGAGACCGTCGATTTGTAGTCTCTTTCTGTCGAAGTATTGCAAAGATCGTTATTTTGTAATCTTTGCTTTAGCTCTTT